TTTCTTTATTCAAAATTCGGACAGAACTTATGGGATGACCTGATAAATGTTATATTCAATGGAGACACGTATTTGAATAGACTTAACTGTTTTGTTTTTTTTAAAACAGTGTAATCGAACGTTTACCGGCCTTGTCATTCGGGAGTCACAAAAAAAGAAATTATACATTTGAGAAGGCTTTGAAATTGCATCCACCGCGTATATTGGAAAAAGTAACTTTTTCTAAGTGCGCCTTAGCCAGCTCAGCCACGAAAATCTTGATAGAAATGTAAGATTCAATCTACACTTTTAAACAAATGCCTGCATCTCTTTGGGTCCATATCTGCTTATTATAAAAATAAATATTATGAATAGAAAAATACATTTTATGAATAATCTTACTTATTATAAAACGCAGATTGTGTGTGTGTGTGTCTGTACGTTTATATATTGGATCGGATTTCCTACATTTTTCAACCGATTTCAACAAAACTTCACAGGACTACGTAAAATTACATTGCGGTGGTTCTAACAGCACCAAAAATTAGAAAAACACAATTGTTTTTGCACGAAATCAATTTGAAAACACGATTAAGAAGCATCGCGAGAATGAAAGGGGGACAACTCCTATCGAGTTATACTTATAAAACCCAGGTTGGTTGTTTGTGTGTGTGTGTATGTTCGTTTATATATGGGATCGGATTTCCTACATTTTTCAACCGATTTCAACAAAACTTCACTTTTTTTTGGCAGGTTGTGTTTCTTATTGTCTTGCACACTTTTTTCTTTATTTTTACATTCAGAATGCTTTAAAAAAAAACTAATTAAGACATGCGTGTCCGTCAACCTTAAACAATAATTTTATTTTTCAGTCTTTATGATGGTCGATACTTGATCTATCTCTTACTGTTACATTCCCGGGCAATGCCGGGCTCTACTGCTAGTATCTATTAATTTCCTTGAAATTAATTTGTTTGCATTTCGGATGTGAGGTTTCAAAACATCCAAACAAGAGACGCGCATTTCTTTAAAAGGACAGACTCAAACTTCCGTCCCTCTGAAGTTTTTCGTAGCTGAGCGGTCTAAAGCACATCTGGTATGAAATGGAAGCCCCCCACCCAATATAAAGAAAGCGAAGATTCGGCTCTGACGAAAAATGTCATATCGTTATTAAAACTCTCAAACGCCAAAGTTGGTAGACATCAATTACAACGTTTAAAAACATGGAGGTCTATTCAATTTCATGCATATAACTAAATAATAATATATTATATATATTAATATTATATTATATATTGATAATATATTATATATTAATATTATATTATATAATAAGGTATTATATATATTAACATTATATTATTATTAATAATGTATTATATTACATATTATTATATTATGTATTAATAATATATATATAAATATCATATTATATAATAATGTATTATACATATTAACATTATATTATATATTAATAATGTATTATATTATATATTAATATTATATCATATATTAATAATATATTATATATATTAATATTATATTATATTTATATATTAATATATTATATATTAATATATCATATATTTTATTATTTATTAATAATATATTATATATTATATTATACTTTAATAATATGTGATATCATATTATATTATATATTAATAATATATTACATTTTAATATGTTATATCATATATTATATATTAATAATATATTATATATTCTATTATATTTTAATAATATGTTATATCATATTATATTATATATTAATAATATATTATATATTATATTTTAATAATATGTTATATCATATTATATTATATATTAATAATATATTATATATTATATTTTAATAATATGTTATATATTATATTCTATATTAATAATATATTATATATTATGTTATATTTTTATAATATGTTATATCATATTATATTATATATTAATAATGTATTATATATTATAGTATTTATTGTAATAATATGATAAATATTAATATAGTAATATGTAATGTTGGTGTATGTTATGTAATGTTACGATAATATAATTGAGAAACTAATAAAAAATGTTCCGCCGTTTGTCAACTCCTTAAAGACAACATTGTTTTTCGTCTACATCATCTTTCCACCAAAAATCTCATAGAAAATCTTTTTTTTTTCTAGAGCCCAACACAATCTTTATCAACTTTTGGTTTACATCATTAATGGGTCATTTATAATAATTGCAAAATAATTACCGTTGAAAAAGACTGAACGAATTGTAAAATTCGGAACGATATTTGGTTTTCAGAAAACACCATTTGAATTTCGTTAGATTTTTGAAGAATGTTTTTAAAACTAATGTTCATCTAATACAAGCCCCAAGAACCACTCAAGGTAGAGGGTTACTGTGCGGTGTTGTATGAGTGTAAGAATGGACAGGAAGCGAAGTTCATGGTTTTATGCAAGAAAAATAACGGTTAACCCTAGACATGGAGGGGGTCAAGACTCTTGTGAGTGGGAAATATTCTGTCGGTCGTTTATCCCAGAATGCAACAGTTCTTGGCCGGGAAGCTGTCCGAATAGAATTTCCTTCTTACTACGTGGAATACAAACGGGAATAGGGATGATTCACTCACGTGGCCGTGGCATCACGGGTTCCAGTTGTAAAGGTCAAAGGTGGTAAGGCTAAGGAATGTGGCCCGTTACAAAACTTACCATGGAAGAAACGGCTGGGCAGGACGAGGCGGGTAACATTTCATCTGTGGAAAATAATCAATCACCCACCGGGCGCGTCGGCACTTTTGAACTGTATCAAGACAAGCAAGTGATGACTGGTCAGATATGGCAGCAATGCCCCGTTTTAGGTGTAATTTGGTTCTTTTAATGATACATTCTCGCAAGAAGAGTAAATTTACTTACTGGGGAGGGGTATAATGAATCAGTTATTTGTGCAGCATCTTTATCAGTAGCGCGGTTATACGAGAAAAGGCCTATCATAATAGGTGAAAGGTCGGGGTCTGCTCCGGGGTGGTGGAACCTTATGGGTTTGGTTTGGGCCGTATTGGATTTTACAAGCAAGTTCTTGCTCACAGGCGCCAACTTGGCGGGGTCAGTGAAGAGATGACTTACTGCTTTATGGTCTTCCAGGTTTTTGGAGCTGCACCTGTAAACTTCAAGAGAGAAATTAAGGAGAGAGAGAGAGAGAGAGAAAAGGAGGGAGAGGGGTAGTGAGAGAAAGGGAGGGAGAGAGAAAGGGAGATGGAGAGAGAGAAAGGGAGATGGAGAGAGAGAAAGGGAGATGGAGAGAGAGAAAGGGAGGGGAGAGAAATGGAGGGAGAGAGAAAGGGAGGGAGAGAGAAAGGGAGGGAGAGAAAGGGAGGAGAGAAAAGGGAGGAGATGGAGAGAGAGAAAGGGGGGAGAGAAATGGAGGGAGAGAGAAAGGGAGGGAGAGAGAAAGGGAGGAAGAGGGAGAGAGGGAGATAGAGAGAAATGGAGGGAGATGGCGAGAGGGAGAGAGAGAGAGAGAAAGGGAGGGAAAGAGAAAGGGAGGGAGAAGGAGAGAGAAAGTATTGAAGAAAAACTTAGCGACATCGGGAATCATGAGATAACACGAGTAAGTAAATTCTTTTTAAAAAATGGCTGCACTTATTACAGCGAATATTAAAATACTAAATCATCTAATCATCATCATCATCATCATCATCATCATCATTCATTTAGTGCTTTTACACCGCTGTGGTAACGACTCTCCTCCACCTCTCCCTCTATCTCACTCTGTTGCTATTACAGCCACCGTCATTCCACCCACAAGTTAATATCCTCAAGCCAAGACATGAGTGGTCATCCATGGTGCCGCTTACCATTCACTGGGCCCAGCATAGTGTCCTCATCGAAGCTGCCTTGTCAGATAATATGCCAAAGTAATGAAGCTTCCTTAGTGCCATTTGCTCTCTCAATACATACTCTTTTTTTTTTACTGATGGTACCTAGCACCCACTGATTAGTGTGTCTCGGTGTCCAGGGTACTATAAGGTCTTTGCGATATGTCCATATCTCGAAAGCAATGATCTCGTGTCTTTTCCTCTTGGTCAGTGACCATGACTCGCATCCGTATCTGGCGATGACTAAAGAGCTTTCTTAGTGGCATGTGGAACTTCCTAATAGTCATTAGCGAAAAATTTATGTCACGCGTCTCTTAAGGCCGTGGGCGATCATGACTCTCCCTATCTTCCTATTCTTTGCAACTCTTAGCAATGTTTGTTATTTTACTATCTCTACCCCTCATTGTTCTGGCATCTATTTACACAAGCTCCTTACTCACTGTTACCCTCTTCCTCGCGATATGCCTTGTGAGTGTCAAATTCTTCAAATCGCCTTTCCTCTTACTGGTTCTAAGTATAAGCATCATATTTGTTTCCATTTTACTTAAAACTTCCACGTTGCTTACACGCTCCGTCCATAGCATTCTCAGCATGATTCCGTAGAACCCGATTTCTGTTGCTTCAAGTCTCTTCATCTGCGAAATTTACCCAACATTCATTGCCATAAAGGAAACAGGATATAACATAGCCGTTCAACATTTTTTGTTTGTTTGTAACGAAAATATCCCCTTTCTTAATATTTCTTTAGCTTTTGAAAGGTTGATTTTGCGACTTCGGATTTCGCTGTCATAGCAAAATTTCTGTTGAATTGGTTGTAAGCCAAAATAATGATGAATCAAAGATGGTTATTTCTCCTGAATCCTGATATCCTCTTCGGTTAATTGAACAGGAAGATTTATCCAGTCTCATCGCCGGTCATCCTTATCTTGTCCTACACGGTTGTTTATTCCCTAATACACACACGAGAACCCTCACTCCCCAGTCTGAAATGAGGATTGACGTCATTATCGAAAACGAACGGCTACTTATTACATGTACTGAATAAATTGTGAATACTCCGTCATTTGCTGAACAAGTGGGATTGAAGAGTAGTTTTCATAAGATGTTTTCTCAAAGAAGGTAATGCCAGGCACGAAGGAACGGGTTGTGGTATGGCTTAGGGGGTCGGGTGAGGAACTGCAAAAATAAGTTGGATTGTCTGACATGACAGCGTCTGACCATTCTTCCCCGAGCCTGTCTTTCCTAATACTCTAGTTTTCGTCTGTAAATTAGAAAGAAATCCCAGGAAGACAGATAAAGTAATTAAAGAGTTGCCATGGCAACGAAAGAAGAAGAAGAGAGATGGGGGTGAATAAACGAAAATATGAGGAAGAATATAAAAACTGTAAAAATAAACAAACAAACAAACAAAAAAAAAAAAAACCAGCAAAGGCATCCGTAAGAAAAGGAAAAGAAAGAAAGAAAGAAAATATGGCAAGGTTGATAAAAACAAAAAACAAAAAAAAAAACAGTAACAAAACAAACAACAGCAACAACAACAACAAAAAACGGAATTAACAATGACGAAGACGACCTGAACGAATTTTGGGGAATAAATTAAAACCAATATAAAAAAGAAAAAAGTAAAGAAGAAATTAACAAGCGACAACAAGTACTGCTACTGCGACTACTGGTGATGATGATGATGCTAATGATGATGATGATGATGATGATGGTGATTATGATGATGATGTTAATTATGATGATTGTGATGATGGTGATTATGATGATGGTGATTATGATGATGATGATAGTGATGATGATGATGATGATGTTGGTGCTAATGATGATGGTGATGATGGTGATTATGATGATGGTGATTATGGTGATGGTGATGATGATGATGATGATGATGATAAAAGAACGACAACGCGAAGAAAGATTGTACGAAAAATAAATATAGAAAGAATGAAAGAAAAAAGGCGAAGGAGAAAAAGAAAAGAGAAATAAAGAAGAAAAAGAAGAAAATTGAAAGAACCAAGAACAAGTCTGTAAACAAAAATGAGGTTAAGAAACAATAAAAACAAAACAAAAACAAAACCAAAAAAAAAAAAAAAAACTTCCGAGTCAACCAACATCAGGAATGGTATCATAAAACAACAGCTTAAAAAAAAACAAAAACAATAAAAGAACGACATTAAAACGTTATTTAAATTAAATTCAGTTAAAAGCAAAACTGGGTAAGCGGGGATTTAAAACAGAAAAAAAAAAGAGAAGAAGGAAAGAAATAAAAAAAAAATGAAATGACTTTCCTTCGTTCCATTAGAAAATTAATTGTTGGACAGAAAATGAGATTCGAGGGCTCACTGGGCGTTCGGTGCTGAAGAACAAGCGGGAAAAAAAAAGAGAGATGACGGGTGAAGTTTTCTAAGAGGAAAATGATTAAGAGGAAGAGAAGATGGAAACACACGATGAAAGACAAGGAGGGAGGGGAAAGAGGATAAAAAAAAGAAAGAGGGGGAAAACAGAAAATAAAGCGGAAAAGAAGGAAGAGAAAGAATGGAAATCGAGAAAGAAAAAGAGAAGATGAAGAGAGAGAGAGAGAAAAAAAGAAGTAATGAATAAAGAAAATGAAGAGAAGGAAAGAAGAAAAAAGATAATGTAGAAATCGAGAAAGAAAAAGAGAAGGTAAGGAGAGAGAATAAAAGAAGTAATGAATAAAGAAAGAAGCAAATGAAGAGAAAGAAAGAAGAAAAAAGATAATGAAGAAATCGAGAAAGAAAAATAGAAAATAAGGTAACAGAATGAAGGAAAGGAATAATGAAAATGATGAAGAAATTATTTTAGAAGAAAATATTGAACGGGGGAAGAAAAATCCAAGATAAATACAATATGAATGAATTCGAAAGAAAAAATGAAATAAATAAAAAGAAAAAAAAGACAGAAAAAAATACGATAATAGAAATGGTAGAAAATATGAAAAAAATGATGGCGAGCAATAGGCTCGTCAAACAAAAGAAAAAAGATAGAAAAACATGAATGAGATTTAAAAAGAAAAATACAATTATTTAAAGGAATTTCTGGGAAAGAAGAATGGATGAAGAAATACGAAAAAGCAAAAAAAAAAAAAAAAAGATTTGAAGGGGGAATTGAAAGAATGTCTATAAAAGAGAACGAAAGAGGAAAAGAGAAGTCATGGAAACAGACGATAATAAAATAGAAGATGAAAGAAAAAAGAAATGTCATACAGCGTCGAGATAAAGTGACTAAAGAAAGAGGGGAAATGTTGTTGATGATGAGGAAAAAGAAGAAAAAAAAAGCTCTGCAGAAAAATAACCATTAGAAAAACAGACTCATTCGTACACACATGAAATTGGAATAAAATAAAACGAAACGAAACGGATGAAAAATATTAAAAAATGGTGAAACAAAAGGTGTAGCGGAAATGAAGCGAAAATAAATAAAATGACTGAATAAATCTCAAGTAAGTGGTAAAAAATAGCGGAATTGTTAAGATAAATACAGTAAAAGTAAAAAAAAAAGAAGAAACATCGATGAAATAATTAGAAAGAAAAATAAGAATGAGAATAAGAATCGGAATAGGAATGCAAGAACAAATTAAGAATTTAAGAATGGGTAAATAGAAAACTAAAATGTAGAAACAAAGCGGAAAGAAATAAAAGCAGTTTAAAGAAAAATATAGAGAATAAAGAAAGAAACTCACTCATCTATTATTTGTCTTTTACCTTCGCTAATCTGTTCTTTTGTCATTTTCATTTCTACTATAACCATGCAGTTATCTATTTTTTTTCAGTTGAACTTTTTTTCTATTCTAAAGCACAAATGTTCATCCCTTTCTTCATTTCTTTTGACTGCTTTTTATGTTTTGTTTATTGTTTTCTTTTTAGTTCTCTGCACGCGTGTCACTCTCTATTTATACTATTACTACATTTATAGCGATTTAAAGATAGCTCATATCTATCTATCTATCTATCTATCTATCTATCTATCTATCTATCTATCTCAGTCTTTCATTATCTATCTATCTATCTATCTATCTATCTATCTATCTATCTATCTATCTATCTATCTATCTCAGTCTTTCATTATCTATCTATCTATCTATCTATCTATCTATCTATCTATCTATCTATCTATCTATGTCAGTCTATTTTAACCAGTCTATCTCCTAAGTATATGTATTTGTCCAGTGGCTAAAACAGTTGTGTACTTCCTTTCGTTGATCTTCAAAAACCGAATGCTGATTTTTCAAGGCCTGCTCTTACATAGCAGAATAGCGAAATCCGCGCATCCTCCCCCAATATGGCTATATGTGAAGTGCTACTAATGAAACTCCTAAGAGGTTTTCCATTACGTGAAATTCTTTGCAGTGTTTGCCATATTTGAAGTTTTAAAGTGTTTGTTTCCTTTCGAAACCTTGAGTGTGTTCGCCACATGTGAAGAACCCTTCAGAATATTTGCATTATGTGAAAAGCCATCAGATTGTTTGACACATGTGGAACACTTTCATGGGGTTTGTCATATGTGAAAACTTTCCAAAATGTTGACCACATGTGAAATTAGTCAGAGTGGTTGCCACATGTGGGATTTCTTAAGCGCGATTACCACATGTGAAACTATTCGTAGCGTTTACCACATGTGGATCTCTTCGAAGTATGTTTACCTCCAACTGCGGCAGTTAGTGTTCTTAAAGTAATTCGAATGAAATTTTTGAAACTATACGAATTCTGTGTCAGGATTTAAGGATACGCATTCGTATGTATGTAAAATCTTTTCGTCCAATGTGCTTGCTTGATCATTATTATTATTATTATTATTATTATTATTATTATTATTATTATTATAAGTAGGTTGTTTCACACTAAATTCCACGATATCTCGCTATATTTCTGAGATGATGTATTATGTACACTATTTACAAAAGCTGGACGACACTTCGCAGATATCTCTCCCGAGTAAGACCCCCCCCCGCATAGAGGAGAATATGACTAAAAACTGTGTGTACGCTATCCCGTGAAGCTGCGGAAAGAAATATAAAGGGGAAACAGGCCGCCCCCTTAAGATAAGGCTTCAAGAACACCAGAAAGCTGTAACACGAGGGGAGGTGGAAAAATCAATCGTGGCTGACCACATATGGAGAGAGAAGGGAGATCACCGCCCTTTGTGGGATCAGGTTGAGATCATAGACAAAGAACACCATTGGAAAATTCGTAAACTTAAGGAATCAGCACATATGCTAGGCCACAAGAATCTCCTGAGACGACCAAGCATAGAAATGAATACAATATGGGAACCAGTAATAAGGAGTGTCAGAGAAAAGCAATAATAACAACAAAAAGTGCAATATATACTCTGGTAAAAACATGAAATGATAACAGCAAAAATTGCAATATGAGCACTGGTAAAAATGATTGCTGAAGATATTAGATTTATAATATCCAGAAATTCATACACATATCAAATGGATGTCAGTTATCAGTTATCTCTTGTTAATTCACCTCTCCAAGTTCTCCACTGCCTTAACCAGGTATTGAACGCATAACTCTTTGGGTCCTGTCACTGAATCTAATCAACGCCTTTATCCACTGTGCCATAGAGAATTAGGAGATAACTGATAACTGACATCCATTAAACATGGCACGTGGAACTAGAACAGTCTACCTCAGTGAGCGAAAATAAAGGGTTCAGTTCGACATTCCAACTACCTGAAGAAGGCCGATGCGTACAACGGCCGAAACGTTGTAATTAATATGGCGACAAAGATGAGGACAATAGTCCGAATAATGTAAATAGTGTAAATTCCACGAATTTGTTTTTTTCTGCCTTTTGCAACGTTTTCGGCTGCGTAAAATAATCGTCTAATAAAATTCAGACCACATTTTTCTTCATATTCGCAGTTATTTTTTCCTCCAATTTTATATTCGGATTTCTTCTGAAACGCTAATGTTCACCTAGACGCTGTTCGAAACTGCTTACCTGACTTCATTATATCCTATTTGCTGTCGTAAAATCACTTCAATTAGAATTTTATTTTCCAGTCTTGTAGCGTTAAACTAAACACAAGTAATGGTAGTCTATGGCAGAGCCGATTCGTACTACCCCCGAACCCGTGAACAGGAAGGCGACTGATTGAGAACTCTGGGACAGTCCTTTGTGACTATTGCTATTAACATTTACTTGTTTCTACCTACATTTGTATATGTTACAAATTAAACTAAACACATCTGACTATTAAAGGATTAAACATTTTCGAAGATTTTGACGTCATTCTAGGGTCTTTTTTTTAGTCGAAATCTGTGAAATTGTTTTGCTCATACTGTCTTGAAAAAACACTATAAAAATTCATTATTTTTTATTCATAATGTTGATCGTGCTAAAATTATTAAAATTTTTAACAAGAAAATTTCAAGTTGATGTTAAAAAGTGACGCCAATTGTTGATTGATTTAAGATCAATTATGACATTTCTCTAAATTGTATTTAGATACATTGTATTTATTTTCAATTTTTCTTGTTTAATTTTTTGCCTATATTGCAATTCCATTATTGTACGTAATTATTTTAAATAAAATTTGTATTTTATATGAATACTACCTTAAGAAAATTGTGATTTAATATAGTGGTGGGGTGTCCTGTATTATAGATTCAGGGGTGTACGAGATCCTTGAACTGGCCTTGGTGTATGGCGTCTGGGTAAGTATTACCCTACTAGAAACTTCAAGATCTATGTGATATTTTGTAGCAATTTCTTGCTTAATATTTTGCTATTTTTTCCCCTTCATTTTCAACTCATTTTTTCCTATTCCTTTGCATTCTCATTTTTTCTCCGTACAAAATTTTTCACCATTTCTGTTTTCTCAGTATTTATATCTATTTTTTTTCTTTTATTTTCCTCCCATTTATCCTGCTAATCATAGTAAGTTGTTTTTCTTTATTAATTCTTTTTTGCACTGATTACCAAATTTTCTTGTTCTTTTGTTTGTTTTTTTTCTAAATTATTTTTCTCCCCACTTCTGTTTTTTTGCTAATAAATAAGTAAAATTGAAACGAATAAATATCTAAAATGTATTTTGCAAATCCTGACCGGATTGGTCAGAACCAACAAACGGTATTCGCTCCAATACGATTCCTGTCATTTTGCAGTAAGAACGTTTTAATTATAGCCGCCTTCAAGATATTACTAGGCGCATGTCTTCCTTATCTCTGCGGACTTTCTAAACAGATACCATCGAATTGGATGTAGACACTTTTAATGAGCCATTTATTTCTTTTTAGGCAACGGGGAGCAATGCTTTAATAGTGGCTTCGACATCGTTTCTATCTTATTATTTGGGTTGGCGAAGAGAAAACATGGACTCTTATCAGAAGGATTTTCGATTGGTCGTCAAGAATTTCTCTCTCTCTCTCTCTACCGACCTGTCTCTTTCTCTCTCTTTCTTTCTCGCTGCCCCTCTTCTCTCTGTCCTTCTCTCTGTCTCCTTATATTTCTCCTTACTTACTCTCCCTCTCTTTATCCATATTCTCTCTCACCCTCTCTCTCCCTTCCTCACTCTCCCTCTCTCTTTCTTTCTCTTTCTCTCTCGCTTCCTCTCCTCTCTGTCCCTCCTTTTCTCCTTTTTCTCTCTTTCTCTTTATCCTCTCTCTACTTCTCTACCCCTCACTTTCTCTCTCTGTCCTTCTTCTCTCTCTCTCACTCTCTTTCTCTTTATTCTCATTCTACCTCTCCCCCCTCTGTTTCCTCTCTTTCTTTCTCTGTCCCTCTTTACTCTGTCCGTCTTTTCTCTCTTCCTCCCTTTCTCCTTATTCTCTCTCTAAATCCCTCTCTCCTCCTATCTTCCTTTCTCTTTATTCTCTCTCTCCCTCCCTCCCCCCTCTCTCTATATATATATATGTGTGTGTGTGTGTGTGTGTGTGTATTTAGGCAGAATATCTTCATTCACACGTTTTGTTGAATAATATAGATATATTGTGTCTACTTATTTTTAAACCGAACCTTTCCTTTATAGACTAAACTCATTAACATTTCCACTGGTCAGTTCTCTTAATATTGAAACGCTTGTTTTGTAAAAAGTTCCATAACTACAACGGGTACATTTTAAAAATTCTAAAACAATTATAACAGAGTGCGTTCGTGCGCATTTTTTTTTTTTTAAATCACATTGACAACGGATTTTATTACAATTACAATAGCATGTTTGTCTTTGTAATTTACCTCTGAAGATGATTGTAGGTAAGGTCGAAAGTACTTGGGTTAAATAAACAAACTACGGTGCCTTCCTTGATGAATTTCATCTCAGCATCAAGAAATTGATTAGACAACTGGAAAAGATCAGTATAAAAATAAGTAGACACAATATGTCTATATTATTCAACAACACACACACACACACACACACACACACACACACACACACACACACACACACACACACATATATATATATATAGTTATTATACACGCACGAACGCGCTCTGTTATACTTGTTTTAGAATTTTAAAAATGTACTCGTCGTAGCTATGGAACTTTTTTAGGAGGAGGCACGGGGGAGTAATGGATAGCGGCTTGGATTGAGGAATCGGAGAGCCGAGTTCGAATTCCAGTTGGTTCCACTACATTCACTTACGTGCTAATACCCTTGAGAAGGTGTGAATCCTCCTCTTCTCCCTCCAGCTATGGGTAATTAGCAGGACAGACTGGGTTCTATAGCCTTGGATGGCAACTGGTCTATAAGAAGGAAAACTGAATTCAAAACCTGAGGTGGGTCGTTTAGGGACCTTGTAGCACTTAGTGCACCAGGTCTCTGTATTTGGGCCATCAAAACGTGTGGATTGTCCTGTACAAAACCTTCACCACTATAATCAAATCTCATGTACTGTTGTCGGGCTGTCGGTTTCCTAGGAACTGATCTGCTTGACCCTCATACGTTGTATTCGACGGGAGAGTCGAGTATAGTCATTAACAAAAGTTTAAGACAACCTTGAAATTTTACTATCCTAAAGTTGAAAATGGAGACGGCCATATCCCGCCACGGTCATATTCCGATCACAGAAGTTAAACAACGTCGGTCATGGTCAGTATGTAGATGGGTGACCTCTTGGGAATACCAGGTGCTGTAAGTCTTTCCTGTTTTTTATGTAACCCTGGTGAAGCACATACTATGCATTTAAAGGACAGGATCGTTCACATTTACTTCATGATCACGACTACGGTTGACTCCTTTTATTTTAAGTTAAAAGCAACAGAGTAAGAAGTAATTTATTAGAGACTGATTCAATTTTACTCAGAGATTTGTACATGACAATGGGGATTTTCTAAGCGTAGCTTACATGTGCCACAAGACAGCAAATATAGGGCACTTATTGAGGATCGAACTAGCTATTCAGTCGTAACTGATCTAGCGAGACCAACTTGATAACCATTTCATCACGTCGAGGTGCCCAATTTGTACATGACTATGTTCTCTATAAATTTCAAGGAAAATTGTCCAGCGGTCAATATATTGTGTGACTTCTTTTGATTACTACTTGGATGCAACAAGGTAGGCCATCAATAGATCAACTGATATTTCTTTTGCCCAGACTTCTTTAATGACCTCTCTCACTGGTTCGGCAACTTTGTTTTTGACAATTTCTCATAATTTTTCAACTGGGTTCGGATATGGAGCGTCCCCCGACCAGCCCAGTGTTGTCACGTTAATTCGATTCAAAATATTCAGAATGACTTTTGGCCGATGGCCTAAAGAACCTTCATGCATCAATATTGCGCATTGACGTGAAAGTTTCAGTTTCTCCTCCAGTAGTTCCACATACCATGCAGCATTTATCGTTCTTTTCTGGAGGTAAGAAATCTAACGGTTCTAGATTTGAACATGACACCTACTAATCAATATGCATGGTGGATGCTCCATGGTATAAATTGCATACTTTTCATCAAATTGCTTGCCAGAGTGGGTCTTCTAACCTTTCTTTTATGCGTAACGAAATGTTGCAGAGTAGATTCATCTGAAAAACTAACTTTGCTCCAGTCTTCAGCTATATCAAATTTTATGCTGCTTAACTAATGCTACAGTTGGTCATGGTTCACGAGCCGGCTTGAATAATTTCCGAAGAATCTGAAACGACATGAATCTGTCATAGAACTTACATTTGTACCATTTGGAAAGGAGAGCAACACATTTCTTCTATTAGAAGATCACCAACAAGTTCTTATTAAGAACTTGTTGGTGATCGTGCAGCAACGTACTTCCTCAAATGGTCACCTCCAGCACTGGTTTTCCTTGGAGGTCAGCTTGTGACTAAAAGAAATTCACTACGACAGTGCGTACAACCATTATTTTATAACCTAATTTGACATTCATTTCACGTTCAGAATCGCCTTCATTACGTAGAACCAAAATGTAAAACATTCGTGTGGCTTAAAATGGCGATATTTTGATTATATTCTAAGCATAATTCCCGAAACAAATGTCAAAAAATGGTGGCTAATTTGGCAATGACAAAATCTTTTTGATCAGAGATCATGTGTGAATAATAGAAAATACGAAAATAACATTATAATGGCGGTCTTACTGTTTTGTCAATAACTGATACTCTCTCCCTCCCTCTTTTCTCTCTCTCTTTCTCTCCCTCTCTCTCTCTCTCTATATATATATATATATATATATATATATATATGTTTGTGTGTGTGTGTACATCATTTACATTATTCGGATTATTGTCCTCATTTTTGTCGCCATATTTATTACAAAGTTTCAGCCGTTGTACGCTCCGGCCTTTTTCAGGTGGTTGGAATGTCGAACTTAACCCTTTATTTCGCTCACTGGGGTAGACTGTTCTAGTTCCACGTGCCATGTTTGATAGTTGTCAGTTATCAGTTATATCCTGTTAATTTACCTCTGAAAGTTCTCCACTGCCTTAACCGGGCATTGAACTCAGAAATATAGACAGATTCTGATGTATGTGTGTGTGTGTTTGTGTGTGTGTGTGTGTGTGTGTGAATATACATAATATCCAACGTCGGTAGCAAGACTCGGATTTTCATGCAATCTTGCAAGGTGCTGAATATATGGTGATATTATTGTTGCCTCAAATATAATTAATTATTTATATCATTCAAATACATAAGCTGGAAAGACGTAGAAGTGCGTATATGTATGTTTTTATCATACTCATTCCACACACACACACACACACACATGATAACAGTATAGTTGAAGGTATGTTATATTTATGGGTAAATGTACTCAACATCAGATGTAGAGCGTATGTAAATATAAAAGTAGACACTAATGTCAACTCCAAGCGGTGACATCCTTTTTCATGCTTGAGGCCTGAAGATTGCGTTGAACCCTGTAACCAGAGCCTACGTGTATATATATATATATATATATATATATATATATATATATATATATATATATTATGAAATGAACAAAAGTCCGACAATTATTTTAAGACATTTTTATGTTTATACATTCTTTTTATAGATAGAAATATTTAAGTAAATTTACCGGCCTGAATGTCCCAGAAATTGTCATAGAAATTATGCGTCCTATACGGATCCGTGATATATCCTGACGGGCTTTTACCGATTCCGCCACAATTTCTCGGATATTCAGGCCGGTAAATGTTGTTAATACTGTTTATTATAAACAGAGCATTTACGTAAATATTTTTATATAATATTTTTATAATGTATGACGTCATTTGTTTACATTTGGATACGCATCGAGCAGATATGAATGTACTTGAGAAAATCATGGAAAATTGTAGTTTAAAAACAGTAAAATCGACTGTGCTAACCAAAACGCTCCTCTGTGGCTCAATCGGTAAAAGCACGTCAAGCTATATAACGCTTCCGTATAGGATACAGGTTCGATTTCTGTTGGAGGCCGCATATTTTCTGTAACAATCTCTCGGACATTCAGTTAAAAATTTTTATCTATAAAAAAGAATGTATAAACATAAAAATGTCTTTTTTATTTTTTATTTATATATATATATATATATATATATATATATATATATATATATATATATATATATATATATATATATATATATATATATATATATATATATATATATTCACTGCCTTTCGATCTAGTAGAGATGTAATGGCTCCTATTCATCACTACAACAGATACCGTTGGAGAGATAAAGTTGCCAAGCTACAAAATACAATTTTTTACATAATCACTACTGTTTTAACTAGTAATGAACAAGAACTGTCATGTTGTGGCCTAAACATATCTTGACCCATCAGTTTAGTCGCCACTGATAAAATGCATTATACACTTTCTACCTGTGCTCCCATCCATTATTTAGTCTGCATAAATATTCAACAAGGGTCAATGAATGCGAATGAATGTATTTTTGATTATGCATAAATTAAATGACAAATATCTGTGTACAGACCCATACCCGACAGCCACTATTAGTTATTAATATATATATATATATATATATATATATATATATATATATATATATATATATATAATATTCATTATTCATACTCGTATTTATCAATTAGTATTTTAATGAATTGTGAAGGTGGACAACACAAAGTTTAAAGAAACACAATTCAGAAAAATACTAATTGATAACACGAGTATACTCCACAATGAAAAAAAAACTTCAAATTCTTGTAGCCGTTATATATATATATATATATATATATATATATATATATATATATATATATATCTCTGTGTGCGTGTGTGTGTTTGTGTGTGTGTATTTGACCAGCTCTGCCTCCATAGCTAGGTAAACGATTATATATAGGTAGACAAACGACTTATATTTCTCCAAAGATCACCGCTGCGTAGGTCACCAGCTACATACGCAAAGCACCTGAAACCTTGCTCATCGCCACTAGACCAGAGAAATCAGCTCAACAAGGGATGCTAAGCAATGATGTCAGCAATGCCTGTGCTGAGAATTAGCGGCGTGTTCAGCTTGCTCAACACTGCAACGACTCACACCAACAATAATCCCAGAAACAAGCATATGAAATGGTGGTCCATCACTTCGACTGGGTAACTACGCGCTTAGACACCAACCTAAATACTTCTACGTCCCCGCACAACACACACACACACACACACACACACACACACACATATATATATATATATATATATATATATGTAAGTATGTGTGTGTCAAAATATCTGTGTAATGTGTGCGTGTGTGTATTTAAAATAGATATCAAATCCGATAAAGTTTTGAAGAAATTCAAATTTTTTCAAAACTTTGTCGGATTTCTATATCCCATTTTAAAACACACACACACCTCACACACACACACACACACACACACACACACACACACACACACACACACACACACATACCGCGCGCGCATAAATACACACTATATATATATATATATATATATATATATATGTTGTTTTTTAAATGGAAAATAGTTGCATTGAAACTAGTTTTGATTACGCGTTTCGCCTTTCTAGGCTTCGTTCATATCGAAAAAAAAAAACGAAAGATAAAAATATGTGTGTGTGCATTTTTTGTGTATGCCTAAATAATGAATTATTACTACTTTTTCTGCTAAGCTGGCGTTTCTCGTGATGGAAGAAAAGAATGAAAATCATTGATTTTTTAAAAAAGCCGTTAATAGTTATTCTGTATTTATTTTTATAATTTTTAGTTCATGTCGAAAGTTATTAATATATTTTTCCCAGGTTTTTTTGTTTCGAATTAAAGGTAAATCCTCATCTTATTTTCAGTATGGCTTGAAAGCAAAAGATTCATGTAGAGTTTCTTAAATTAATTTATGGCAAATCCTTTCCTTTTTTTATAAGAATGGGTTGAAAGAAAAAAAAATATATGTTTTTAGGTCTGTCCGTGTGTTTACCATGTCGAAAATATGTGTAAAATATAGAATACAGTATCCCCACAAAAGTTTGAAGTAATTTGACAAATGGAAAATCGTTTCAGATTTTATATATATATATATATATATATATATATATATATATATATGTACACAAACTGCACTTCGGAAGTTTGAGGAAATCCCTGAAATTTTTTTAAAATGGCCCCAAAAGTAGTTGTTTTGTAAATTCAAATAAAAGAAAATTCTCATACATGGTT